AAAAAAAACTCAGGAAAAACCCCAAAGCCCCCAAACTAGCTGATATTCTAAATTACACCTGGGTTTTGGTTTCTATTGTTCATTCTTAACTTACAAGCTTTTGGAGTTTTTCTGAGAGTCTGCTAGTTGGGGACAGTCTTGCAAATTCACCTGCAAGTGCTGTTTGACTGGACTGCGGGAAGTGCCTGTCTACAGATGTTACTTGAAATGCGACACTGGCAGTAGTGCATCAAGAGTTTTAGAGTTTGGCCCCTTATACAAGTGTTTGATGTAAGCCAGACCTTGTTTAAGATTTATGATTTGAAGTCCTCTGGTAGACATACTTGCTTCTGTTTAAAACTAAGTTACAGGAACACAAAATGAGCACTGCAGTTCCACTATTATTGTCCTTGTAAGTGGAGCAACCATTTGAAATTGAAATAGGTTAACCTGTTATTGCTAATCACTGGAGAACACAGTACTTAGCTGGAACCTGGTAGTTTATGTTAATTTTAATTAAAAGTGCAAGGAACGAAAATAAACAGAGGAAAGTTATTCTGAATTCATTGTAAATGGTCATCGTTTCTTTCAGGAAATCTTTAAGATGGAAGGAAATCTGGGAATTCCAAGACAAAAAAGAGCTATTTTGGCGACTCCAATACTAATTCCAGAAAATCAAAGACCACCGTTCCCCAGATCTGTTGGCAAGGTAAGTCAACAAAGAACAGGATCAAGTTTTGATATTAATTCATCCATTTCTCTGAGGTTTTGTAATGCCTATCATGTTGGTAGTAGTGTCCCAGACAAAATTAAGAAGCACAAAGCTGAACAGAGAGGATTGTTTTTTTGTCTTTATTGCGTAGACAGATGAACATGGCTTTGTATTCATGGGATACTTTTACGTTACTAGCATATACTCTATTCAAAAGCATTAATCAGAGCTGTGCGTTTTCATGTGGCTGCTAACTTCAATAGAGGTAGCTACCTATTGTGTATCCGTGTGTGTTAGGCTGGTGTTGAAATCTAGGCCACGGGTGTTATGAGGAAAATCCCACTGCCTTTTTGTGGATTATCTTCTTTTTTATTCTCAAGATCTAAAAAGGATTCATAAGACATCACGAGTAGAAATGTTAAGATTCTTTAGTTCATCGCTAGTGTCCAAAGATGAAGTAAGGCTGCGCAGATGCTTTCAATTTTGTTTTGTATTATTTGCAAAGGTCTGACAAAGAAACAAAGTTTTTCTCAGGTCTGCAGACACCCACATAAACAACAGAGTCCTAATGGCTGCTTTTTCGGACCTCCAGATATATAGCTTGCATACAAAGTTATCATAAAAACTTAGATACCAATAGCTGTTTAAACGGCCATTTAGGCATTAAAAACTGTAGTTGCATGAATATATTTTGTGTATCGGCAGCTTTGAAAGAGGGACCCTACCCAATGCTCTGATTTCCATAGGTGTGTCAGTGCCAGAAGAGCCCATAAAGCTCTTACGGGGTTGGTTCATAACTCCCACTGACACGTTCACTAGAGCTAAACCCACAGCTCGAGGGCAGAATTTAGCTCTACGATCAGTGTGTAATTTAGCGAGCTGGCATCTAATCAGTTGCATTAATAATGAGGAAAATTTTGATTCTTTTCAGTAACAAGGGAGAATAATTCCCTGAAAATTTTATTTTCTTCCCTTTCCCTGCCCGCTGTTTATCCTGATAACATACCTTGCTATTAATTTTTCCATCGTTTTGAAGTATTTTTAATGTGTCCTATGTAGTAGTGGAAAATTCACCATTCCCAATCTTCTTCCTTTCAATTTCAGTGTTCGAAGCTCTGAGAGTTAATGATGAATAATTTAGCAAATTTTTTTAGTTAACTTGTTAGTGATAAGCAATTGATTAAGACTCCTGTTGTGCAATTCTAAAGCAGTGGGGGAAATAAAAAAAGTTGGTTTTACACAGATCTGACACAGATCTGAAGTATTTCTTTATTATTATTTTCCATTCTTCCTTCCCATACTCGCTGCCTGTGAGCAAAGACTTGCAATCTGTTAGATCTGAGTTGATCTCTGGAAGTGTCTTCATTAAGTATATTTATTGAAAGTTTAGGATGTCAGTCCTGGCAGTTGAGGTTCCTTAAGCTGAATTAAGGTTGAGGTTCCTTAAGCTTGAGATGAATCTGGTCCTGTCAGTACTTAAAGGTTTTCCTGGCATCTTGTAATCTTGACTTTTTTTTATCATTCTTGAAATGCTAGTCCTGCATCAGGAGTTAGGTATGTCAGATGATGAGCAAACATAGAACTGTAAAAGCATCAGATTTTCAAAAGCCCTAGGACACTTACTTTTAAATAATATTTAAGTTATAGGAACTGCAAATGATCAGTGCCTTGAAATATTCTAAGTCATCATCAGTTTAAAAAGACTTTAAAGTAGTTGGTTTTTTTTTTTTTTTCAGTATTATCTGCTTTTGGTATCCAGACATGAGTATTTTGGCTATCATCTATTGCAAACAGTAACATAGAGTGCATATTTGACGAGAGACAAAAATGCTAGAGATATTTAAAATATAGGAATGACATTCTAGGTCAACTGCAGTAATTTGCAACTGAATGCTTAATAAAGCATAAATAAAAAGGTTTAAATCCTCAAGCTACTGATTGTAGGAGAGAGAGTCAATATTCTTCCCTAACTAAAAAATTTAGTAGACGTTAATACTGAAAATAAAAGCAATTACTTTTTGTCTTTTTTCACATCTCACAGATCTTCATAAGCTGTGCCATGAAGTCTGCAGAAACAGAGTAGTCTCTGTTTCTCTGGAGAGCCTTTTATGCCTTAAAAATCATGGAGACACCCAATTCATAATGTTGTTTCAGATCCTGCACAAATTGCAGAAAAGATTGATCTATATCATTTAGCTTTAGATGGCTACTCTTAGCCTCACGAATTTGCAACATTTATTTAGATGCCTTTGTGAGGTGTCGAACCACAATTGCTGCCTTCTCCATGTTATTTTGGAGCTTATCTTCTGAAGCCTCAGCAAGGCACATTCTGTGGGCTGATGAATAATATCTATAGATGTGTAAGATTTTCTCTTGACCTTAAACTTTGCCATCTCTCTGGTCTGTTGTAGACCACTTTCACTGTAAAGGGAACATTACAGATGTGTTTTGTAGCTGTGCTTTTTTTACAGTGGGGTTTTTCTTTGGACGAGAAAAGCATACTGAGAACGCTGATGCTGAGCAGCACTTCTGCAGCCAGGAGCTGGTGTAGACTT